CACAATGTTAACGCACGGGGCCCTACGTATTATCGCTTCTCTAAATGTGCCAATAAGTCGTGCGGACCTACTCCCCCAGCGGCCCTTGCCTCCAATGCACCAGGGCGGCCGTGTGTGGTCGCTCTATACTCGCCGTACTCGCACGCCCCGAGCTTTCAGCGCGGAACCGACCGCGACCGGCGGCGGCGGCCTAGGGAGGGATAGACTCGCATGCACAGCGGAGGTGTGTGGTGTGGCGCGCACTCCTCTGCAGGTGGTCTCTATAGTGCCTCCTGGTTCCCATTATTGCATTCCCTTCCCTGTTCCCCCTGAAGTAGTAGTAACAACAACAACAACAACAACATAGGAACACAAGGGTTGGGCATTGCGTCGTATGTGTGTTTTGTCTGCGCGATTTTGTTGCCTTGTCGCAACGCGCACACACACACACACACACACACACACACACACACACACAACTTGTGTTTTGCGTATTGCCAATTCCAGTAACACGAGAGCAGACGAGGAGATTCCACTTTTGTCCAAAACGGCGTACGTCTAGTGTAAGATTTACAATATGTTTTTGTAATGTATATGTTGTTGTTTTTGGTTGTTGTTCTTTTTGCTCGAATGTTGCTTGCGCCCCTTCGCGATCTACGCCTTTTTCCCCCCCGTGGGCGACGTGCTGCCGAGGCTTGCGGTTTGATCGTTTAAAAGTTATGTACCGCAATCACAAACACCTCTGGCTCTGCGTGCTAAGAGTGAGAGTGACTGAGAGAGAGAGAAAGACATGCAGAGAGAGACAGAGAGAGTAGAAGGAAGACAGAATGGGAGAGAGAGAGACAGACTGAGAGAGACCAAATGTTAACGTTCAAGCTCATAGGTCCATTTTCACATCAAAATGTTCGGCTGAACTAGTAAAAGAAAATGTGCAATAAATGTGAAATACAAAGTTGTGAAACACGTAATCTAGTTATACCTCTTTGGCCCAGGAGAGACGTGAAAATAGGGAGGAAGGGGGAAAAGAGCGCGATAAATTATGGATATTAAATGACGCCAACCTGACGTCACCCTCATACACCGGCGCAATTTGACTGTCACACATGATCCACGACTTTGGTATTATGCCCGCGTCTTCTTCAGTCAGCACAGAAAGTATTTTGTCAAGCCCACACTGTGAAAAAAATGGGTATGTTTACAGGAAAATTTTCCTTGACGCAAGTTGTAAAATTACAATTAATTA